TCATTATTTCTTTTTCTACCGAGACTTAATTACCTAGGTGGGACTTCGGTTCCCCCTTTCTGACTTTCAGATAGTCGTGCTTCGCAGGCTTCGGGTTGCTCCTACGCTACTTCATCCCAATTCATGGGCTTTTGTTCGAGGTTTCAAGCAAGTATGTGGATATCTCTACCTTCCGTGTACAGTTTGTTTGTTCTTTTATCTATTCAATGTATATATAGCCCGGTCGAGGGACAAGGTCAAGGAAAGGAAGGGATAGGTTACCCTTCGAGGTGCTTCGGGACGGGGTATTTTTATTCCTTTTATCCAATCCTTTAAGGGTTTCAAAGAAGCCTATTTTAAGGTGGCAGCTCATTCTGATTCTCTCCCTTGGTTCGCCGAAGAATAGTTGGACGATGGGGATTTGACATCACTATTCGAGCTTTACTGGACGCAGAACCATTATCAAAGGCGTCTTAAGGATTATACTACCCGAGGAGTAGCTTTTTCTGATTCAGAAAGATTGGCAGCCTCCGTACTGATTGGGTATGCTAAAGAGTTTGGCATTATCGGCCTAAGTCATATTGTAGATAAGTTTGGATATGATCTCCTTCATGATCTCGGTATGTGATTTCGATCATGAGATTTATGTCGGTTTATTGTTTAACTTGTGTTCTAACTTTTGGTTCCTTTTGCAGTTAGCATGACGAGCTCTAGTTACAAGAAGTTTTTGCCGAAGGCAAAGAAGGCTTCTTTAAAGGGGCAGGCGAATGATGATGTCACCCTCAATGTTGAAACTTCAAAGAAAAGGCGGTTCGATGTCATGATTGTGGCAGTTCATCTGTTGTGGGTGAGGTCATGATCTCAACCGAGGTTTTGTTCCTCAATTAATTACCCCCTCTGTATCTCCGCCTCCGCCTCCTCCTAATGCTCCTCAAGGGAATTGTGGTTTTGGAGCCTGGGGAGCTGTGGAAGGTCAGGGTCTCAGATTGACTTAGGGCTGCTCTAAGGCCTCTTCAACAACTTATGGGAGGATCCCCTTTGACCTTGGATGTTCGGTCCATGCTAGCTCGGATGAAAGAGGAATCGTTGAAGACAGCTTCTCTTATCCAATCTTTCTAGGACCTTCATCGAAGGATTGATTTATCAACTGCTTCTAACTCGTCACTCTCCACCAAGGTGGATGAGCTTTTGAGGCAACACGATGAGCTTATCAAATCGAAATCCGACCTCTAAGTAAAGGTGCAAGATCTTACTTCCGAGTTGGCCGAGGTAAATGAGGCTTTGATATCGGCCAATCTTAAGTTGAATGATCTGAGCTTTGAGAAGGAGGCTTCTTCGAAGGGCTTAGCTGATAAGGAAGCTCAATTACGGAAGGTGCAAGCCGACTTCGAAGAAGCTAAGTCAATCATTACAAATGCCGCCATCGAGTCTTTTAAGAATGCTATTGAACAAGCTCGGGTTCTGAATCCTGGTCTTATCACGGAAGGGATGGACGTTTCATACGGCATGAAGGATGGTTCCATTGTTCTTGGGACTCCAAATACCGATATTCCTGAAGAGGAGTAGCGCATGACCGAGGTCGATGGAGCTGTTCTTAGCGCTGATGTAGAATGAAGGGGTCGGTGTGCCGAGTTTGCAATATAATTTTTTTTTGGGACTTAGGTCCCTTTTTTAAATTTGTATGAACATCATTGTCGTTTTTATTTCGGCCTTCAGAATTTAATTTTGCAATTTAGTTCGGCATTTTACTTTCTGAGGTCATTGCTTTATTTTATCCATTCGAGATCCCATCATAATGTGGCATTTGTTATCAATCTCGTTTTCTTCTGCTCTTTAACTCATGATTGTCGAGCTTTGCAAGATCATTTTAAAGTAAATCTTGTTCATGGACTAAACTTTGAAAGCCCGTTACATAGAATAGGCTTATAGCCACTATCTTAATAACTGCGCACAAGCAATATGCTTATAGTCAAGACGTGGGTGTGTGCACAGTGTGGACGGAAGTAGTAAATGAGTTCAGAATGTGTACCTGGGGGTCTTAAGCCTTGTATTTATAAGGGTTACCTCTTGAGCTGTTTAGATCTCCCCGTTGGTGTACGATTCAACTCCTTTTTTGTAGGGATAAGGGTTCTATCCTTATTTTCTTTATTGTTTCATGCTGTTAGGATAATTAAGTCATTATCCTTTAAGAGATTCTTGGGTAGGTAGGTAGGATATAGATATATTCTATAACACATAATATTACATTGAGTTCTTTAAAAATATAATATGTAACTATAATTCGTATACATTATTGAATAATATCGACAATATATATAATAAAAATTTAAATTAAAGCTCATTTATTAAAAATATTATTCAAAGAATACTTAATAAATTTTCCAATGCAACAGATAAGATGTGTATATTAGAAATCTATAAGAAAAACTTCAAATTTTGTTCTATATTGGGCATATATCATAGCTACTCGTTGAAGATATAAATTACGGTGAAAACTAGTTTCCAAAAAACTGGGGCGTGCGTTATTTATCTATGTAAACTTTTAAATTTTTTCATATACATTTTTTTGTTCTGAGTTGGCAAATAGATTGCTTGTTGTAGATTTATTTTTTTTCAGTACTGAGTTGACAATGAGATTGCTTGTTGAATATTTTTTGTGTGTCTACATTTGTGTGTTTATACGTGATATAGCCAAACATTATTTTTTAAATAAGACGTGCTCATGTTATTTCTTAATTCCCTTCTTTTAATAATATAAAAACAAGTGGGGCATAAATTTAAACGATGACATATCCACACCCACATATATCTTTCTTATTAAAAGTAAAACAATGAAGTGTCCAACTACCAAAAGTCTGATATTGCGAGCCACATTCCAGCTGCGTGATCTTTGTTATCGTACTTTTCTAATGCAGTTTTTCATTAAAAAAAAGAAGAAGAAGCATAATCATTTAGTCATTAAATTAAAAGATAAACTGAAACAATATGAAGATAAACATTTGCTCGAATACGTTGAAAGAATAATCTTCTCCAACCATTTTCAACTTGAAATACATATATAAAAAAGGTATATGTGTTGAGTTTAAAGTTTCAGATCAAATAATTTCGAGTTTATCTTAAAACTTGCTCCTTCCATATCAATATAATTGTATTTTGAAGTTACAAAGAAAGTCATTAAATACTTTTGATCTAAAAAAAATATGAATTTATTTAAATGTTTTATGCTTTATTAAAAGACAATAAAGTTAAAAAATAATTAAAACTTTTGAGGTGAAATATTTTAAAATAGAGATAACATGTAAAAAGATATTATATTTTAACTAAATGCAATGGGTCAATGAAGAGTATCTGAATATAAAGCCACCTAGGATCATCAATTAAAACAAGTATCTAGATATTCAACAAATACTCAATATTCCAAAATCTTTATTCTGTTTTTATAATAAGAAAAATCGTTATCCTAATTCAAATAAAAATAAAGTTACCAAAACTTTGTGTTTGATCCTGGGATCATTGTGTTGGATCTATGGGCTCTCTTAAGTATATATGAGAGAGATAAATGGGGTGGGTACATAATAACAATTAATAGCAAGAGTATATGTGCACATATATGTAAAATTGACCTTTTATTTATAAAATTTACTCGTCAGTAATGAAATTTTGAACTTTTGGTAAATTTTGAAGATCCAATACTTGATCCGCTATTGACGTATTATGATCGATATCTTTTAGGAATTTTTTCTTTATTTCCGTCTTATCTGTTTGTCCTCATTGGACTTTCTAAAATATGAACCTTGAGGTCATGTCCATAACACTTTGCAAAAATATGTAAATATAAAATTATACTCACCATTATTTTATATATTCAAAGTTTTTCAATTAGTTTAAATTTTACAATTTGTATTATTTATAAAGGTCTGAAAAATTGATGACAAAAAAAAATCCAACACGTTGTTTGGTCAAAGGAACGGTGACAAGTGGGATGTAAGTAAGCATGCAACGAGTGAAGTAGATGTAGCCAGCATTTACAAATTAGCACATAATAACGTGTAGATAAGACAACGTGGAACAAGAACGCCACTTCCATCACTCAATAAAATCTCAGTCTTTTTATTATCTTTTTGGTTGATCCATTAAATTTAATCTCATTCTTTTTTCTTTTCTTTTTTGGAAACAATTTAATCTCATTCTCAATTATCAACATATTGAAAATTCCACTTTTACTTCTTTCCTTTGCATTGGATTCGCAATCTTTTTTCTTTCTTTTTTCCTCATTTCGGCCACCAGTCAACCCCAAACTTTTAATATTATCAGAAGCTGCATGAGTTGGAGGGAGAGGAGATAGAGAGAAACCAACCAAAGCACTCTAAAGAGAAAGTCAAAAGGGGTAAATAATAATACTATAATATATAATCTCTAAAGTCCCTAGTATATAAACAATCCCATATATACATGTGACATTGATTCCTTTCAAGCCCCATCTATTTCTTGTTTGGATTTGATTTTGATAAATGTATAAGATTTTTATAAGTAAATGTTAAAAACAGTTAAAATTTCCTTAGACTTGTTATAAATAAATCTTAAAAAGACATAATTACCAGGAAAAAAATATAAATTATAAAATTTTAACATAAAATCATGAACATAGTTTTCACCACTTGAATAATTAAATAATTGTTAATCTAACATGACACTTTTTTTTTATGCAATATTGACATAAAATGTACTAGAACTATATGAAAATTAAACCTAGTTATGTCTAGATCAAGTTAATGTTCATGACCAGGTAAAGTTGGTCATTATGGAGCCCTTCTCATGGTGATCCTTTGGAAAAGTCATTACCCTCTCAATTTTTTTCCGTGTTTTGACTTTCCCACACTTTGAACACAGAGATATCATGCTATAAATAAGAAGACTCGCATCTCATTCTCTCTTAAATCAAAACTGAACTGCGCCAAAGTATTTCAAAGTCCAAAAAAACTTTCTTCACCTTCAGGGTTGTTCTTGAATCTCTTATCATAAACATGGATAACGAGATTGATGTTCCTCCTTTCTTTCTCTGCCCCATTTCGTTAGAAATCATGAAGGATCCAGTGACAGTTTCCACAGGCATAACCTACGATAGAGAGAGCATTGAGAAATGGCTCTTTTCTGAGAAAAACAAGACATGTCCTGTCACAAACCTACCTCTTCCTCTGCTCTCAGATTGCACTGATCTCACCCCAAATCACACCCTTCGTAGATTGATTCAAGCATGGTGTACAATGAACTCTTCTCACGGCATTCAAAGGATTCCAACTCCCAAACCTCCAGTCAACAAAAACACCATAGAAAAACTCCTCAAAGATGCTTCTGACAAGCCTCAGTTGCAGATCCAATGCTTAAGAAGCCTCAAATCCATTGCTTCTGAGAGTGAAACAAATAGACGCTGCATCGAATCCTCTGGTGCTGTTCATTTCTTAGCATCATTGGTAATCAACAACATCAAAGAATTAGAGTCTTGCCTAGATGACGATGATGATGTGTTTGACTTGAAAACAAGCGCAGGTGATGATGCTTTATGCATCCTCCATAGTCTAAATTTATCAGAAACTGGGTTGAAGACCCTTTTAGGCTTCAAAGATGGAGAATTTATGAACTCCTTAACAAGGGTCATGCAAAGGGGAATCTATGACTCACAAGCTTATGCAGTTTTATTGATGAAATCTATGTCTGAAGTGGCTAATTCTGTTGACATAGTTAATCTAAGAAATGAGTTGTTCATTGCATTAGTACATGTCCTTAAAGACCAGATTTCCCATAAGGCATCAAAAGCTACACTACAAACACTGATTCAACTCAGTCCTTGGGGGAGAAACAGGATCAAAGCAGTGGAAGCAGGAGCAATTCCAGTTTTGATTGAACTTCTTCTTGATTGTAAGGAAAGAAAGCCTTGTGAGATGATGCTAGTGCTCTTGGAGACTTTGTGCCAGTGTGCAGATGGAAGAGCTGAACTTTTGAGCCATGGTGCAGGGTTAGCCATTGTGTCAAAGAAGATTCTGAGGGTTTCTACAATGGCAAATGATAGGGCTGTGAAGATTCTATTGTCCATATCAAGGTTCTCTGCAACACCAAGTGTTGTTCAAGAAATGCTGCAACTTGGTGTGGTGGCAAAACTTTGTTTGGTCCTTCAAGTTGATAGTGGAAGCAAGGCCAAGGAGAAAGCAAGAGAGATTCTCAAATTGCATGCTCGGTCTTGGAGGAATTCTCCTTGCATACCAAGCAATTTGCTTGCTTCATACCCAACAAGTGTATGAAATCATAGTTTTAGTTTTTAACCTTCTCATCTTTCACTCAATTTTCATTCATGTACAGAATTATTTGAAGAGGTTAACTGAGAACAAGGGATAGGTATGGGGATAAAATATTGCCCATAAAGGATTGGTTGGGAAACAAATTGGGATTGAACATGTATCCAGTACATGACTTAAATGGAATGCTCATACAGCAGAGTTTGTCATATGATTTTTGTCACTTATTTTCATTCTCATCTTCAGGCCTTTGATTACTATTTCTTCAAATGTTGTATGCTAGGAAGCACGGACACTGGTAAAAATAGGGAGAGTCGTGTCCGACACGCTTCGATACGACGACACGCTCCGACACGGTGTCGGACACGCGGTCAACTTTTTCCGACACGTTGACCGTTCCGACACGCGAATTTGACCGTGTCGGACACGGTCAAATGGAATTTTCGTAATTTTTTTTAAAAAAAATTATTTTTTTAATAAATTATAATATATTAATAAAGCTTCCACATGATCATATCAATTTTATTTTTTTGTCTTTTTTTCCCTTAAGTAGATAAGAGATCATCTCAGCATCATTATTGTCAATTCCTATCACGCTCTTGTTGTATCTTCTTGTCTCTGATCTCTCTCTAATATGATTTAATCTCTCTATCTGATATATATCTTTCTCATCCCAGTTCTTATTTTTTTTATTAATGCTTCCATCTTTATAACGTGTTGATGGGTATTATTAATTTAGTTTCATTTTTTGTTAAATTATTAAATATTAAATGAAATATACACTATATAAATTAAAAATATTGTTTAATATTAAAACGTGTCCCAACGTGTCGAAATCCATAATTTTTTAGGATTGACGTGTCGGAGTGTCGGGTCGTGTCACGTGTCGTATCGGTGCTACATAGGTTGTATGCATAAATCTCTTAATGAAAAATATAATAATACTATAGCCAGATCAGATCTTGACATGGTGATTACTAAGTTCATTAATTTGGTTATTGTTGGGTATGGCTCATACTTCGCATGCTGATGATGGCCCTAGTTGTCGGTGTCAGCAGAAAGGCAAGTAGGTACTGTTGTGGGCCTCTGTTTTATTGTAATTTTCTCAGCAGTTTGGGCTTGGGCCCATGAATAGCTGCTGTTAGGGTTTTATAATCCTATTTATATTTTCCTTGTAAACTGAGAGACTTGTAACGAGTGGCGGTGAGGTCAATATAGTACAGACAAGCTGAACGTAGCCTAAATTGGGTGAACCAGGGTAAATCGTTGTGTCTATTCTCTCTCTCTCTTTTTCTTTTCCATTTTCGATTTGTGTGTTGTCGATTTCCAACAGTTATTAGTATAGTGAGAATGTTTAATTTAAGAAATGCTGGTGTACAAATTTTCAAGGGAAAAGTTCACCAATGCCCTTGTGGTTTGCTTCAGAATCACTTATGCCTCTGTGGTTTTTTTCTATCACATATGCCCCTGTGCTTTGTAAAAAATAAAAAACCACAGGGGCATATGTGATAAAAAAAACATACCCTTTTGCAAACCACAGGGGCATATGTGTTAGAAAAAAAACCACAGGGGCATAAGTGATTCTGAAGCAAACCACAGGAGCATTGGTGAACTTTTCCCAATTTTCAACTAAGGAATAAGTTAACTAAATTCAGGATTTATGGTTGATGTGTGTGGTTACTTTTGATTTAATTTTTATTTGAGCATTTGAATTTTTAATCATATTCCGACTTTGATTAAGTTTTTTAAAATTGAGTCATGCTTATAAAATTTCTTAAATCGCAATTTTCTCTTTAGTTTAAGAGATTTAAATTCAGAAAAAATGAGTAACCTTGCTTACAAGAAATTGAAATGTTTTTATAAACCACCAAATATGTGGATCAATTGGTATGTGATTGTTCCAGCTTAATTAGTAATATTATTCTAGATATACAGTTGTGTCAAAAATTTAATGGGAAAAATTTTATGCTCTTATAATCCTGCTCCAACTGATCGATTAATTGAGGAATCCATGAAGCGTAGAGAAATAATAATAATAATAAATATATATATATATATATATATATATATATTATTTTAATACAAGTAAAAATTGAACACATAATCTAATACAACATATTCAAACTGCTCACTTAAACCAAACAGAGTGCTTTATCTATATTCTTATTCTAAGGACACTATATAGGCATAGACTTCAATATAAATTTAATTGCCTCCAATAAATGACAGGTTCAACTTTATAGCTCCAACCAGGATAAAGAAAAGGGAAGTATAATGATGAAACAACAATCGTTATAAGTTGCTATAATTGTGGGTTTTTTTTATGGAAAATAATTATCTCATGATGTATGAGATAAAATAGTGGGATTTATTATTTTATTTTATTTTTAAAAAAATAATAAATCTCACTATCTTATATATGTTGAATTATCTCATGCAACATGAAATAAATAAATTCTTTTTCTATACATAGTCATTCTTATCAGCCTCGGTCACAAAGCACCAACAGACCATTCAAGTATACCTACCGTTTTGGACCAAGTAATTTGTTCACTGCTATATCTATTGTTTATTATTATAATTGTTCTTATCATTAACCATCTGCAGAAGTATATAAATGTGATGGTTATTTAAAGAAATGTCTTCTCACAAATCATTTCACGCCACTCACCTCAAATTAGTATAGGTTTAGATTTGCTTGAATGAGACATTTCACATACAACACAGACCCAGAAAATTATACGAAGGGGGCAAAAATTTAACAAATTCAACTTATAGAATTTTAAATAAAATATAATTTAACAAGTATACTAAATTGATGAATTTAACATAAATTACTCCATTGCCATGTGCCATGTCAACAACGAAAAGTAGGAGAATCACAATCTTAAACCAAAAAACATGTACAGCGATATCAAGAGATGCACCCATTAAATACTTTTAATAACAAATATAATCACATAACTAAAATAAATCCAAAAAGAGGGGGAAGCTCGTAGAACCCAAATTAGGTGAGCACCTAAAACTAACATCATAAAGTTCCATAATGCCCACATCACTACAGACTCATATACTTCACTTATCAAGCATCATAAAGCTAAACAAATAAATTCCAAAAATTATTGCAAACTATAATTATTTTATACTCATTTTTTCTTTCACTTTATGTTGGTTTTTTGAGCATTCGAACAACATGAAACTACAAAAAGATCAAAACTTTACAAAGAGAAAGTGAAAATACTCACAACAGGAAAATGGGTATCAAGCTTCTTTCTCATGCTAACAGATTTTAGGTATCAAATGAAGCAAAAGAAGGAGACTCAGAAAGTGAAGTTGAAAGCTTTGAACAAAAAGACTGTACCGATCATCAACAAGATGAAATCAATGCAACTCATTTCAGATCCAAAGGGCACATAATACTAGTTTTGCTAAAGTAACCCACTAGTTATGAAAAATGAAATATACTACGTATTTTTTTGGGGATATAGACATTTTTTCAGATTTTAGAGGGGGGCGGCCACCCATGCACGCCCCCCATGTAGGTCCGCCCTTACACACATGTGCACACCTAAGTGTAACAATCATGTAAGTGCAAGTGGAAGGAAGGTATGTATATATATATATATATATATATATATATATATTCATCCATTGATTGATTGTCCAAAAGGTTAGGCTCTCTCAAAATTATTTTTTTCATTCCTAAAACTCAAACTCAAAATCTCTAATTAAGGGAAATTAGCTTCTTGTAATTTTCTTGCAGATTTGCATCAACATCAAGAAATAATTAGAATCACTTTCTACCAAGTGGGTAAGATATTTGAATCAAACAGAGTCAGCACAACCTAACAATATAAAAATGGTTGGGATGTGAGAAGATTAGGGACTTAAGTTTAGAGAAGGAAGAAAAATGATAACAACATGTGTGAGTTTTGTCCAATTTTGTATATTATATTTTGTATTTTTTTATAAAAAAGAAAAACTCAACCCGCGAGCTGGCTTGTTTCACCCGCAGGTTGACTCGTTTTTTCACGAGCTGACTTGTGTCGGGTTGGCAGCTTATTTTTGCCAACCCAACCCAACTCATTTTTCGCAGTTTTTGCCAACCCTACAAATCGCTCACCACTATAGTAAACATAGTGCTTTATCTATATTCTTATTCTAAGGACACTATATAGGCATAGACTTCAATATAAATTTAATGAGACAGGTTATATTTACAAACTTTTTTGTTTATAAACTCTTACAAACTACACTATGTTCTCCCGGGAGAACACTAGTTTCACTGTGTTCTCCCGAGAGAACATAATGTAATTTGTAAAAAAAATTAAAAAAAGTTTGTAAACGTATCTTTTCCCAAATTTAATTGCTTCCAATAAATGACAGGTTCAACTTTATAGCTCCAACCAGGATAAAGAAAAAGGAAGCATAATGATGAAACAACAATCGTTATAAGTTGCTGTAACTGCGGGGGTTTTATTTATACGTAGTCATTCTTATCAGCCTCGGTCACAAAGCACCCACAGACCATTCAAGTATACCTACCGTTTTGGACCAAGTAATTTGTTCATTGCAAGGTCTATATCTATTGTTATTATTATAATTGTTCTTATCATTAACCATCTGCAGAAGTATATAAATGTGATGGTTATTTTAAGAAATGTCTTCTCACAAATCATTTCACGCCACTTGTAACACTTTCTATGCCCAGTTTGTTAATATGTCATCGTATTAAGTTACGCTTAATTAAAATGCAGAATATCTTTTTATTTTCAATTATGACATCTTTAAACTTAGCCAAGTTGATTACTTAATCAATTTCATAAAACATCACCTGTATATAAATTGCAAAAGACAGCTAACTAAAATACCTCATGAATAGATAAGTGAGTATCTAAGTCACGGATCTACAACACGTAGTCCGGACAATATCTTGATACATTAATACAACTCATAATTAAAATCTTAAAGTCAAGTCAATGTGGCATGGACAAACCCCATGCTCA